TTATATTTTATATTATTACATTTCCTTAATTTTATTAAATTATAAAAATATTAATGAAATCATATTCCACGACGATTTTTGACTAAAACAGAAAGAAACATTAATTTTTGACAATTTTTCGGGCAGTTATAAGGAATTATGAGCAAAAGAGGACATGTTCGGTAAATTTTACTCTTTTAGGGTTTGTGTAACTGTTTAATGTTTAATGGGTTAGCAGAGACCGAATTATTAATATAATCCTAATCTCCACGTTGTATTATCGCCATATTATTTATCAGAACCTGATAACACCTTGATATTTGATACAAATATCAAATATCTGATTGGGATCAACCTGATGACCATCATGGAGTAAATTTCTAGTCGGGTAGCGTTGTGTCGTGACAGCTCGATATCTCGCGACGTCTCGTGGTGACTAACTGTCAGCGCCGGAAGCGCCGGATTCGTGCTGGAGCAACACCAGGAAGTATAACCGGCAAATAATATGAGGATGGAATCGAATATGCAGGCGGAATGCTTAATCTCGCGGTTACTGACCTCCGCCTTTCAATAGATTTATGTGGCTTGATCTATCGTCCGACGCTCGTTTTGTTTGCCATCGCCACGACCGGTTGCTCTTTTAACGGGAGACATTCGACTTACGTTAAGTCACGTGAGTTAATACACATCGTATGAATAATTCTTTTTTTTCGTTGCATAAGATTCTTTGCTCTCATCATAAGATTAGCTTATCATTATTATTCTCTCTTTCGATATACGTTTATCATAGCAGAGTTTTTCAGAGCATTAAAGCAGGTATTAAATGGAATATTGAGGCCAAAAGTACACACACAGTGAACACACATATACACAAATTTCAACTCGGGGTGCAGGACACGATTATTCATTCGGACCTATCCCTTCCTCGGTCCGGAAGGGACAAAAATTTACGGCACGAGGGAGCGTATTCTTTCGACGTGGCTGTAGGATGTGCGAGAACTCCTGTACGACCTCGTGTCAACATATGGACGGATATTTCCGTTTCGTGCTGGGTAAGCGATACACTGTGCAATGCGTGCAACGGAAGGCACGTGAAAACACCCTGGCATTCTACAAACGAAACCGAAACTACGCGAGCATGTTCGGGTATCTGTTTTTCGCGCGTTTCGCAGCACGCGCGATAACATTTACAGCGCAAATAAACAGTTCTTTGGGAGGGGAAGGGAGGACGCGAGAGAGAGAGGGAGAGAGAGAGAGAGAGAGAGCTCGGCAACAACTCCACGAATGAATATGGAAACTCTACGTGCAAAAATCACCGAGTTTCCGTGCGCGTTGCCGCGGAAAAAGGAGCGATGTCCGATTCGAAATCTGGCGGAGTGGCCACGCGGAAATTTCTCTGGCGCGACCGGATGCGCCGATTTGATCCAATTACTAAGTCAAATTAATCGAGATAACAAGGATAATTGCCTGACACGAAATGGATTCCCGCGTATTTACTAATATATACTTTTATTACACGAACGCCATCGGCGCAAATGGGGAGGGGAGGGAATCATTCCTTTTCTCTGTTTTTTTTCGCGGTTCTGCTGTGTGAATATCTGTAATTCATTTCTGGCTGTAATTAAAGAGCGGCCGGATGCTGACCGAGGTCAGCATTTTCGCGTGTGCACGTGCACGCACGGCGCGATCTGACCTCGCCCATTTGACTTTCCTGATTTGAGATTTCACGATAGCTCGCACGTGCGCACATTTTCACAGACATTTTCCGTGCGCGACGTTATCAATATCAAGATATCAATCCACGTGTATCACATTTCATCTTTCTCTCGTTGTTCCTTTTCAACCGATTTCGGAAAAAAGGTTTTCAGCTTGTCCTGTATACGTTTGCTTGTTTTACATGTTCCCTCGTATTCGAGAACCGTTGGGAATATTGAGATGAAACTTTTTGTAAGTTTTAGATATGTCATCATACGTGATCGGTGTTAGTAGTCGTTACTTGAAACTTGCTGCAGGTGAGACACCCAGATTTTAATTCAGAGTTAGACGTGAGTTTTTTTAGCCGAATCGCAATTGCAAATGTGATGTTACACATATTATACAGGTGTCCCAGATCACCTTCACAATCTCTCGTGAGAACGTAGAGCAGATTGAAATGAATGCAAAAGTCCTATCATATCATATCATTTTGCGATATTCGCAATAATAGTCCAGATATTAATTAAAAAAAGATTGGTAAATGATCGTACGCGATATAGTAGATGAGCTGCAATGGCGCCGTCTACCGTTGTATACTTTTACATTAAGTCCAACTGAACATAAAAGTTCTCTACCATTTTGCAAATGACAACATAGATTTTCAGATATTAATAAAAAAAAAATTATCACAAGATTGTGTACTATAATGCACAAATTTTCTTTAATTTTCTTTAATATCTGAAAATCTATGTGATCATTTGCAAAATGGTAGAGGACTTTTTTGTTCAGTTTGACTTAATGTGTAAGTATACAACGATAGACGACGCCACTGCAGCTCATCTACCATATCGCGCGTGATTATTCATCGATCTTTTTTAATTAATATCTTGAGATTTATTGCGAATATCGCAAAACAGTATTAGACTTTTGTGTTCATCTCAATCCGCTCTACGTCCTCACAAGAGATTGTGAAGGTGATCTGGGACACCCTGTATAATCCAAATAAAAAACTCTCATCTGACTTTAAATTCAGATTCGAGTATCTCACGTAGGGCAAGTAGTTTCAAGTAACGACTATTAATATGGGCCTTAGAGTAATTTCGGAGTGTGATCTACAATAGTCGTAAGAGGATGGTTGTAAGAGTAAAAAATTAACCAATCATAGTTGATTATTTTTCTCATATTCGACTGCGATTGATCAATTTTTTACTTCTTGCTGTTATACTCTTACGGACGTTGTCCGTAAGATGGGTCTTTAGGCTTTCCTCTCTGCAACTTTGGAACTGCTACTTTCTGTAACTTTCTCCCTCTTTCTGTAACTTTAGAGCCGGTCGAGTCCCGACGTTTTCGTACGAGGGAAATTAATTTTACGCGTGTCAACGAGTTCTTCGTCGTCCGTGTAACTGCTCACGTAACGTCGTAAATTTCATAGTTTCACGGCTGTGCGACGACCGGCACGATCGGCCATCGGAAAGCGGCAAAGTCGTTCGCCGAATACTAAAGGTTATGAACTTCCGGGCCGGATTTCAGTCGACCTACCCAGCGCGCGTGAGCGTTTACCTGCTAACCGGGATTTTATCTGTTACGTGATCGCGAGATCGCCGGATATCCTTTATGAGCCATTTATCTTGGGGTCTAATTCGAATTTCAAAGACGATCATATGTGCGCGCGTGAGCCGAATTCATTAATTATTAGGGCGGTAGTTGCGATCTATTCTTATGCGCGCATAATGAAGCGATCAATAACATCATTTTTCTCCCGCCTGAATGATAAAATTCTTTTTCTGTTGGTATTCTCTATACGGAGAAAAATAATTTACTGGCTTAGTAAATTTTCTGCTGGTCTAGCAAAATCTTTTCGTTATTATATGGACAGCAAAAAGATTTTACTAATCACTATTTGCTGAATATAATTTGCTAAATCTACAAATTATTTTGCTATAAAAACCATGATGGATTTATATAAGCAGTTGCAGTTTTGCTCTGATAGCAAATAAATTTGCTAAGGATACATTATTTTGCATCAATAACAAATTAACGTGATTCTTAGGACAAATACACTCAACAAATTTTTTCTATCCTGGCAACAAAATTACTTCTACTCTGATAACGAATAATTTTTTAAAATAATTTTTTAAAATTAGTTACGTCAACTAAATTTTTTTTATGTCACTACGAATATGCAGTAGCAACGACGATTTTGCTAAAAGAACAAAATTAGTTTTCTCCATGTAGTATCATAAATCGTCTTCTTTGACGTTCAAGTGTTAACTTTTCTAGCTTTTCGTCTCCGACACGGAGACGCCTAGTCCTCGTTCGTACAAAAGCTGCCCAATAATTATGGATCGTCGCGCGACATCCCTTACAATTTGTCACTTCGAGTCGTCGTAATTGAAGGACCCGAGAGCAGCCCGAAAGTGTCGTAAGAACAGAAATTGAAGAACAATCGATGCGAGGGGGGTGCAATCGAAATTGTGTCGCAGTGGTTCTTTCTTTTGTAACACCACGATCGTAGCGCACGCGTGATTTGCGCTTCATGCGGGCGTGCGACAGACGAGACGTGGGAATGCGAGAACTCTCCACTTGAGAGTGCCGTCCTCTCGCCATAGAAATAATAATCATCGTCTTTAATGGAGGAAGGGGGAATCTGCGCGGCTCACAGCGACTTCCGCGATTTGTTGTCGTTCCGAAATTCAGACGCCGATTGGAGGAGTCTTAGTTGCGATGTGACGAAGAAAAAAGTTGGGAAAATGTACAAATAAGTATAAATATTACATGGAGAAAATACTAGGCTAAATATGGCGACAGAATATTCATTATATTTCATTATATTTCACCCATATACGTACGTATACGTACGTATTTTTCCTTATATACATGACCTTTCTACAAAGATTTGCAGAAACCATAGTTCTCTGAAAGTAGTATACTGAGAAAAATGTTCAAGTACTTTTTTTTAAATATAGTTTTGCATAAAGTATTAGAGAAAGCATTCGTTTGTTTTAGAAGGACAACGTGATTTAATGAATGTTTTTAGATAAATCGATGGACATGCATAATTTTAAAAAATTCCCAAATTTGAGAAGCGGGACAACGTCAAGAGTAACGTGAAAGCATGTTCGACAAGTTATACGACAAATTACTGACAACCTCATGCTTTCACTATTTCGGGAAAATTCAATTTCGATACGTTGCCCCGGAATGTTCAAATTTCACGATAGTGATTTTTCAGAACGTTGTCCCACTTTTCGTATTTCAGTACGTTTTTTCTCGGGATCACGCGTACCCACCGATGAGAAAATCGCTGGAAAATTGAAGAAACTCACCCTTATTAGATGAGTTTCTGTGCTTTCTGCGTCTGGTCCTGACGCAGGCGACGGATTCTCCGTCATTGCAAGGACCGCCATCGATATCGTCGACGGATGCAGAAACGGCAGCCGCGTCCGCTTCCAGCGGATTTCTAGATCCTGTAGCTTTTTGTTGTCGTACATTAGTCACGATGTTACCGGATACTTCTTTCCCGAGGAAAGTGCCGATCGAGTGCCTTCTTTGGCAAGTTGTTGTCGAGCTGGCCGCAGGAAGCGTAGACGAAAGATTGTAATACCTGGAAAGGGTTTCAGATTTATTATTCCGGAGTTTCCATTTTGGAGACAGGCATGTGATTAAAAGGCAATTTTGTCGTTAACCTGGCGTCGTTTACGCCGAGGAAAACCTCCGCTGTGTCGTCATCGTCATCGTCGTCATTGTTGACGTTGTTGCAGTCAGCCTCGCTATTACGGTGCTTGGAATTGGCCGTTAAACCGCAAAAAACCATGTCGTTGGACAGAAGCTCGCTCGCTGATTTCAGGACTCTTCTGCCTCGGCTAGGACGATGTCGATCTTTCTCGGAATGCGAATGTGACCTACGTCAATACAATAAGGAGCGCACTTTTGACGAACAGAAGAGAGAAACACAAAGATAATGAATACAAAAAAAAGAGCACAAAGATCCAGATTGAACCCAGTTACAAGTTCAGTGAAAACTTTATAACAGTGAATCACCTTCACCATAACAGTGAATCACAGTTTGCCCATAAAGTATCACAGTTAGTTATTAGCAGCACAATTAGCATACTCTTCAGCACAATCTCAACAATGGGAAGCGTAAAGATGGAATCAAACTGACGACTTCCAAGTTCTATAGACTCAATTTATGTTTCTACTCTACGTTCATTCGTAACAGCAAAAGCGTCGTAAATTAGCAAGTCAAACTTATAATTAACAACAGTAGTGATTTGCACGAGAACGCAATACTTTTTATTTTTTATTCTTAATTTACAACATCGAGGATTCATTCGAACGGGGTTGTTTCCAATTATTTTGCTGCAATATTGGGCATTAAGGGGGACCGAGTTGGTTACCGAGACAAGTTGTCAAAATCGATTATTTCTATTATTCTTTAATATATTTCAGAATCAACCCAGCAAACACAATAATATACACAGTTACATCGTCGTAATATAACGGAATGTAATGTGCAATATAACATGTTTGTTATATGTAACATATATGTTAGTTGTAATTTCGCACTCAAACGATATTGCAGCTATGTAACAGAAATATAACGTATTACTAAAATGTTATATAGCTGTTATATATATTGCTGAAATGTTATATAGCTGGAATATAAATTATTATTTCCCAGTAATTATAGATATTTAATTGTACGCAGAGATTACAAGCTATCACTCAATTTAAAATATCAATTAATTAAAAGTATGCTCCTCAAAATGTAATTATATATTTCGTATAAAAAATATTTTTAGTAAAGATAATAGCATGAAGATATCTTGTCATTCTAAATTAATTAGCTCTCAAATAATACAAAATATATCAGAATCATCTTAGAGCCATTCTAGACGTTTAGTGTCCCAGCATGTCCTCAGACATTTTATGCTATTGAAGCTATTTTCATTTATTTATTTCCATCTTTCTGTACATATTCGAATGGAAGGGATTACTATGGTAACTAATTTTCATTAATCAAAAACTGTATCACTTCACTGTACTATAAAAGTGGACTCCATAGTACAAGTTGCGTTGTCTTGTGATCATCGTTCTTATATATATTAATCATATTTTACGTACGAGAAAGACACGAGAAAATGGAAGCCATCTAGCGACTGATCCGATCCTTAGATATAAGAATGCTATATAACATAGATGTAATGTAAATACGCTTGTTATATAACCTATTATATTTAGTCATGTTGTTATACAATTATAAATAGCAGAGTAAATAGCAGAGAATTATTACTTACAGCTCTAAACACAGTTAGATTACAGTTATAAAAGAAAATGATGTAACTTTAACATTAATAACGTATAACATCCGTTATATTACGTGTTACTTCTATGTTATATAATAGTTATATTCTGTGTTTGCTGGGAAGCAAGTAGGGATTTCAAAGCCATCTTTGACATTAAAAATTTGGCTTGTTTAATTCTGTAATTTTAAAAAATAGCAGAAATAATCGGTTTTGCCAATTAATCCTGGTAGCTAAATAGCCCCGATCTTTCCAAATCGATGAAAGTCGTCTTTGACTAAAAAAATTATTTTTCCCATGCTGAAGAGCGACGCTTACCTGTGAGGCAGATATGGCGACGGCGGCGCGACGTCAGACGGCCTCGGGTCACCTTTGAGGAATTTCTGAGTCCTTTCATGGTCTGCATTTGCGCTCACAGACCTGAAGAGGTTCCGGAAGCTTCTTCTTTTACCACATCCAGGCTGCACCGCGCCGTTCTGCGCCAACATCGGCGCGCGCTCCTCCGTCGGCGTGGACGCGCCCGACACGTTGCCGCGGCCCTCATGATGCGCCAGGCTACCGGGTGTGGATTCCGCGAGGGAGACGGCACCCTGAGAGGGTGCGCCGCCCATTCTGTTGTTGGGCCTTCTCCGGAACAGCGCGGAGAAGCCACTGCCGTGGTGGCCCCTGGGCGACGTCGTCGTCGTCGTCGTCACCGGCGACGACGACGACGCCTCGCCGGACAGCGAGAAGTACGACGGATTATCTGTGAACATGCGGATCGGACGGTCGCAACTCGTAAACTAAACACGCACTCTGCGACAAGAGACCCTTTCGCCTTTGAGGTCTGGCGGAAAATTAATGAATGGTCATCGTATGCCAGCAATTTTCGCACAAGTCGTGAGCGCTACGAAGCGGATTCGCGCTGAACTATACAAAATCCCAGGACACGTCCATCGTTAGGACGCACGGTTACTCATGAGAAGAAAATCCGTCGAGAGGTCCCTTTTTTCACAAACTTTTCCTCTGTCCCTTTTTCCACCGGGATCTTTGTACGTTCGAGGAGACGAATGGACTACGCAAGACTCTAATCTCGAATCGCCGATTTCAAGTTGAGATCAAGCCGCAAGTGTCGCTCGCGCGTTTTCTCGCACCACGATTCGCGACACCCCGGCGATGTACACGTGGTTGGAGCGGAACGCGTCGGTGCACTCGTCGAATGCGGAATGAGGCGTCCCTCTCTTTTATCGAGACGGTCGACGACTACGACGCTGACGGCCGCTCTTCTCACGGTTTGGACCCGCGACCACGACTAGACCAATAGAGAGTCCACCTGCGACTGTGGGAGCCGCGTGTACGTACGTTCATGGGACACCATGAACGAGCCTCACTACGATGGGTCGGATCAGTGTGGGGGGGTGGACCGGACGTTGCATTGTTACCCCACCCGGTGAGCCGGCAGGAATACGCGGTAACTGCACCGGAAATGCACCACCGCGATTTACGATTCTCCGCGCCGTTAGGGCCTTCACACACGAATTGCCCCATAACAGTGACGCAGGGTTGCGAGCAATTATCTCTTTAATTAGTTATCGCGTGTTTAATTGACGATTGATATGATTAATTCTTAATTAATAAATATTGTAATTAATATAATAACGTGGTCTTCAATTCAATTGATTTCGACAAATTCGATTGAAGACAGTTTCATTGACGATTTATTTTAACGAATCACTTGTCAATTAGTTGAATTAAAACATTTCTTGTGCTACGATTACACTGAGAAAAAATACTTTAAAATTTATTTATGAAACATGAAGTTTATTTCTATGAAGTAAAGTTTATTTTTATGAATAAACTTTATATCCTCAGAAAAGAATATTCGACTATTTTTTCTCAGTGTGCGATAATTTGTGTACAAAAGTTTTTATATTGAAAGAAAAATGATATTGAGAATTATTTATGGGATAAAATACTAATTATAAATTAAAAAGTTTATTCCAGAGAAATAAATTTTATTTCATAGAAATAGACTTTATATCCCACAAATATATTTTCAAGTATTTTTTCTCAGTGTACTCCTCGCGGAGAAAGGGAGAAAGAGAGAGAGAGAGAGAGAGAGAGAGGGAAAGAGTTCGATTTGCGTTTCATGTTTTTCTTTGATTCCGTTGTGACACGAAATCGCTAGCTCAGAGAACCTCGAATCGAATATTTTTCTCGCAACACGTAAAATTAGATGCTTCTGCGAAAATAAGATTGCGCGACATGCCGTCCATTGCACGGAGTGTGCCAAAGCTATCGAGTTACTCTTCAGTTGCAAATCTCCCGAAGAAACTGCAGCCGATCTCAAGGTCCCTCGGACAATTTTTTAGCTGCGAAATCGAGTCTCGATATTCACGAGAGCCACACACGCTCTCGATCGTCCGGTGCGGCGCGGACGAGCCGGGAGGAGCCATCGCGAGTTTAAATTCGACAACGCGGCTCTCTCGAGCTACTGCCAAATTGCATTACGAGCACGACTCGCGGCTTCGCCGAAACGGCCGTGACGTACCGGCTGCTGTTTGTCCGCGTACGGGAATGAGAGATGCGGGAGACGCGCGATTATATGCCTGTGTACGACGTGTCCGGCCTGCTGAACGCGGATCGCCGTCGCGATCTGTATGCGGTGATCGCGCGCCGCCAAGGGATAAGACTCACCGACTGCCATGACGACCTTCTCCGGCGAAGAGCGTCTCGCTGCGGGCAGAGAAGCCGCAGGGATACCTGTCGACACAAAATAAATTATAATCATGTATCGTCGTCCTGTCGTTGCCGAAGTACCGCAGCGCGTCGTGTTTCGCTGGCTTTCTCATTGCTGATAGAAAAGATCTGCGAGAAAGGGAGAGAGAGAGAGAGAGAGAGAGAAAAAGAGAAAGAAGAAAAGAGAAGAAGGGGCTCCGTGAAACTCCTCTCGACGCTTTCATTCATCGCTGAAAATACACGCGAATATTATATTTAGCGCATCGGGCGCGCGAGAGAAACTCGACCCGCTTACACTCGTAGAAGGGGGTGGAATGGAGAAATGGGGGTCGAGAGCAACCTCCTCACACGGCTCATTCACGTTTTATGCACGCGACATTATCACGTTGCTCTCCGCGTGTCGCATCCGCCGTTATTATCTGGGGGGAAGGAGGCAGTCTCGACCGGTGTACCTATCAAATCTATCTCGCTTTATAAGAGGTGATCACGCCGCTTTATGAAGAGATCTTCTTCCATTAGCGAGCGAGAACCTTAATGGTCCGGATGGTGATTGTTGTCCCTACGACTATCGCCCGGGAATTGTCAGAGCGCGCTTTGCAAATTTTCGCGAAACATTGTCAATTAGGAGTCCCATGGCTTCGACGTGCCACGAGGAAGAAACCAATGAACGTTCGCTGACGTGCAACGACGGAACATTTCAATGACCCGCGGGGCGACCCGTCGCTCTCATATTATCTTCGAGGAGCGCCTCGTCGCTGAAGGGCGGCGTTTGCCTGTGCGCGCAGAGCAGCGGAATAATTTCCCCGGGGCTATATTGGGTTTGTATGACAATTATTTTCGTCGAGCCACGTGGCTGCGACTGATGACATTAGCCGAGAATCTCCGCGTTTCCTCGAATTTAGTTCAGCGAATGCGCGACGCCGCAGCAATTTTCTGCCCTCATAGTTTGCGGATGATGGTTACTATTTTCGTACAACCGGGAGAGACAGAGAGAGAGAAAGAGAGAGAGAGAAGGAGGAGAAAGAGAGAGAATACGTCTGGTAGAGAAGAGTAGATAAATGAAAAGAGAAAGAGAGGGGGGTGAGAGAGAAAGAGAGCGCTAAAGGGTGGAAGTAAGAGTGAGAGAGATAGTGGGAGCTCAAAAGCGAAGCTGAAAAGAGAAGGAAGAAAGGTGATCGTACCTACGAAGCGTTCGGATATACTTCTCCACCAAATGGATCAGCTGATGGAAGGAAGAATGCGATACTATTAATATATCTGCAGAGGATCGTCGAAATATGTACCCTCGTATCATCTTTCTGGATTCTTTCAAAAGGCCCTTTCATAAAATCCTTCTAAGGTAGGTGGTCCGTGACAATACTGTTAAAAAGATAGTGGTTAATACGAAATAGCTCGACAAACCTGTGCAAAATGTGTATAAATTGATTTATGATATATACACAATTTTGGTATTATTGCAAGAGAATATCCATCAAACTCTCAAAGCGTTTAGAAATCCACAAAGAAACAATCGTTTCTCACGCCTTAGCGTGTAATATTTTTGACTGGAAGTGTCAATATGTGTTAGACATTTGTAAATATATCTAAAAACATCACCAAGAAAGCGGCTTTACGGACCAACTACCTTAGAATGATCCTTCCGAAGAATCGAGTCAACGATTTATTGCGTTTGAATAAGAGCTGCTATGAGCGAGTTGTGTCATTATCAGCAGACGACGTCTGTTGTCCCGACTGTGTTTAACTCTTTGTCGGTCATCACCTCGCACAAACGCCAGGCGTGACTCTGCAGGTGCGACGCGAAACGCCGCTCTCCGAGCTCCTCTTCGCTTAACTCGCGAAATAACTTTTGAAAATGGTCCCGAAGTTCGTCATACTTGGTCGAAGCTCGGGTCGTGCCGTTGCCACGGCTAGACGCGCTTTCCCGAACAAATCACACACATTCGTGGCTATTAATAGAGGCCTGTTCCTGTGACCGTCGCGCGGAGTACCGACCGGCCGTCGCGCCGCGCCTCGTTGCATCGCGCCCGAACTGCACCTGCAACGCGACTCCCGTCCGATAAAAAGAGGCTTGTATCCGGCGGTGCACGTGCTTCTGTAAACGAGCACATGTGCGGCACACGCTACGCCCAGAACGAACGCGGCGCGCGTTGTTCGAGAGCCGCTATAAAGAGCCGGTTGAACGCGCGAGCGTAATTGAGGAGTTCCCCTCCGGTGAAACAGCTTCGCTCCATATTGCTTGTTTCCCTATTCCTTCATGTTTACCGCTCGTCGTCACGTTCTTATTGTTGTCTCTTTCTTTCTCTCTGACAGAATGAATTTTTCTCTCAAACCCAGACAGCATAAGGTCTCCTGAGGACGTCCTAAGGACGAAGAAATGTCTTCAAGATTTCCTCAAGATGTACTTTGGATGTCCCCTGGCTGTTAGGGAATTTCTCAAACTTGTGTCCCCTCGTGTTGTTGAGGAGATACAAGTCTAATCGCTTCTACAGATTAGATACAGATTAGATACAGATTAGATACGGACAAAATACATATGTAAGGACGCATGAAATAAACGTAGAGAGTGCACCGATATAAATCGAACAAACGATTTTTATAGAATAAGAAAGCGTGAGGAATCACATGAAAGTCGGTCTGGGAGTCTTTGCGAGACGGTTTCTATGACGAAAATTAATCTTGCACCTTCGTTGTGTATAATAGAAAGTGTGAACACGTAAATACGAGTCTAAGACTTGTATTAATAGTCATTACTTGAAAATTTCTCACGTGAGAGAGAGGAAGAGAGAGAGAGAGGGAGAGAGAGAGAGAGAGAGAGAGAGAGAGA